CCTTAGCCGGTTGAGCTATAGGTGCCGAGCCTAACAGAACAAATCTTGACATTAGGTACAGGGCCCACCTTTATCAACACAAACACCAACACAGGGACAAAGTCGTCTGCTCCGGGCACAGAGTCCTCATTGGCAAGGCTTAGGAGATTCATAATTGTAGAGCACATTCTTAGGATGCACTGCACTTTGTCCCGGGGGGTTTTATAAGCACTTATTGTCCTGATTTCTGATTGCGCAGATGGCCACGGTGCTTCTCGAAGATAAACCTAAGTGAGACCACAGACAATGTACAGATTCAGAATCCAACAGCAACCTCAGCAATGACCCCTCCACCCACTAACCATGTCAGGAGACAAAGATAAGGTGTTGTTTTCTCCTCTCTCCAGTAAAACCATATTGCAGCTCCTTCCCCCACTACTCATGATTAATACTTAACTTTTAAACTTTTCCATTTACTTTACATTCTAAAATAGAGCAACCCAGATATCCATTAATTCAAAAGGGGTATGTATTTAACACAGAACCTAGAACTCAAAATTTCAAACAATTATCTTTCTTAAATAGCTAGGGTGGAACTTGTCTACATTTAGTAGCTGACTCCAAAAGTGTAAGCACGTTTCTAAGAAATGGCAATCTAAACGTTAATATGTACCCTTATTGCAGTAGTTCTACAAATAATAGATTAAAGAAAAAGAAAATTTTAAATTTTATACTAAATAATGTTCCATTAATGGAGGTTTTAACAAAAACTACCAGAAAGCTCAAAAACACTGAAAGTTTCCTGTAATTTTCTAACAGATGTGTCAGAAAGGCAAAAACACTAGTATCAATAACGATGGGTAAAAGGCACTGGGAGGTCACATCAGATTCAATTATCTCTACTGGAACAGTAAATAGTGTCACACTCTCTGGAGTGTTCCCAGCCCCCTCTTCAAATGGGTCACTTCTGCAGAAACCCAACTATACACTGGGTCATTACAAAAGTTTTGAGACAGACTATATTGGGGTCCATTATGTCACTTCCAAGAAACACAGCTGACAGTGTCCTTTCTAATTTGCCCGTACAAGTTTCAACTTGCTAAACTTACCAGGTGTTGCTGGGAGGGCCTCATTTGTTTTGTCCATGAGGATTTTATGTTTCTTGATTTTTATGTATTTTAAAACTTTCGTAATGATCCATATAGAAGCATGGATGGAGAGTGCTGCCCAGCCCTGCCTGTGTAGCCGGGGGCTTCAGGGAGGGGCTTCTCTCTATTACCCCACTCCTTCTCCACTACTGAGGTTCCTTTCTATACCAGGAAATTTTAACCCTGGAAGCATCTTCAGGAATTTCACAGTTAAACTAAATTATATCTAGGCTGGAAAAAGTAGTAACATTACATAGTACACCACGCAGCATTTAATCTCACGTATGCTGCACAAACATGTATTACCTCTGGAATCTGAAGAGCTCTGTGATTTGCAGTCACTACTTTGGACAATCTCTGGATATGTTCATGGAGAACCCTGAAAACCCCCCCCC